GAATGTGCTGAAGGGAGAAACTGACAGTGAGGATGCCAGGTCCTGTTTTCAGCCTCCTGGGGAGGGGGCAAATCCATGCCTCAGTTTACCCCTCAGGTGAAATGTGGGCCAACAGACTTGCCGACCAGTAAACACGACTGCAGCGTAGCCAGTAAAATGGTGTGGGCTACGAATTCCACGCATGAAGAGAGAACCCAAATTCTACACAGAACTGGTCAAACTTTGGCTTTTTAATCCCACACCAAGTATGCTATTTTAAATTGCCAACATCCAATACCAAGGCTCCCAAGGGACCACTTCAGAGCCCCAAATCTGCCATTTTTAGAGCTACCTGTGACGCCGAACCATCTGGAAAACATATTGTTTGAGTACAAATCCACCAAAAACAATTGCTTTCCTATTTGCAAACAGACAAGCTACCAAGGCACCAACAATCTGCCCTCTGGGAACTGTAAGGAGCTTGCGAACAGGTGACAGTGTCCCGCGCTCCTTCACCAGGATGGAGCCTTGTCACCATGCTCCCATTTTACCAACAAGGAGACTGAGGCTCAGAGATGTTAAGAATTCTCCCAGGAGCTCAGAAGCAGAGAGGAGACCCCGAGAGTCACATCCTCTGATGGCAAGATCACTACCTTCCTTGTTCCCGTTGCAGCAAGATCCTGCCAGAGTCTGGCAACTGCAGGCCTCAGAGGCATTCGTTATCAGGGGAGCCTCAGAATGCCCTATCGCCGCCCCTTCTCTTCAGAACAAAAAGATATGCTGGGCTTGAGCAGGACAGCATGTGGGCATCCCTCCAGGTCCCACATGAGGGGACACCTAGCTTCTCACACCTGCTCTCAGAGCTGTGGATGTGGGGCACAAGGGCCCAGATGCTGTGGCCCACTCCAGCCCACGATGCAAACCTGAGATACATCCAGAGAGGCCTGGGTTGTGCACAGAGCCCAGCAGAGGAACTGGGACACCCTGAAGGAGGAGACTCTGGATCCTGAAGCAAAGCAGAGGAGGAAATCCTGGAATAATCTGATGGCAGCTCAAGGATCATGGCCCTGCAAATGCCATTTACCGCCTGCCTGCCAGATGCCAGGCTCAACATCTGACACACATTCTCCCACCCAAGTACTAACCAGGCCCACCCTGCGTAGCTTCTGAGATGGAATGCATTCAGGGTGGTAGGGCACTAGACCTGACACACATATCCCATTCTACAGGTGAGGGAAATGACATGTGGAGAAGCTTCAAAACCAGACATGGTGGCACACACCTGTAATCCCATTGGCTCAGGAGGCTGGGGCAGGAGGATTGCAACTTTGAGGGCAGCCTCAGTAAATTAAGGAGGCCCTAAGCAACATAGTAAGACCCTGTTTTATACACACACACACACACACACACACACATGAGCTGGGATGTGGCTCAGTGATTGAGCACCCCTGGGTTCAATCCCCAGTACCAAAACCAAACCAAACCAAACCAACAACAAAAACTGGTCCAACGCTAGGCAACACAGTTAGGAAGCCTGGGGCCACTCCAGATTGGCACTGGGGTTTGACTTCAGAGCCAACTTCTCTCCAGCTGTATGAACATGACAGAGTGACTGACCTCATTGGTGAAGTGGACACCATAATAAAATAGAATGGGAAAACAATTAAAAAGAGCTAAATCCATATGAGTTTTTTTTTTTAAAGGGGTGGGGGCCGGGCAGGGGGCAGAGAGTTAGAGGTCCTGCACAGCCTCCCTCAGGTGCGGCTGACGAGTGGGGCTATGTGAGCTCAGACTCGGTCAACAGCTATTGAGCACTTACTGTATGCTACCACAATAAATGGACCCCATCCTGCCTGTGACCTGCTTGTCATCCAAAGGGATGAATCAAATTCTCCCAGTTGCATGAGACAGGAATAAAGTAGGTTGGGGGCACATCTAGAGCTGCTGGCAGCCAATCAGCCAGGGCAGGTGGAGATCCCCATTAGGGGGAGACCCAAGATGAAGGACCCAGAGAGGACACAAAGCCTGAGAGGTGCCCACAGGACATAGGTCCCAATCATGTGTGCCACTTGGACTGTCTCAGCAGGCTTCATACCAGTTCTTAGATAGGGAAGGGTCAACAGTTCCATCTTGAAGCTGAGAAAACCGAAGTCAGAGAGGTTAAGCAACCTGTCCAAAATCACCCAGCTGACTGGCAAGGGGCTGGAGTGGGAATCCAGATCTGTGAGGCCAGGAAGAGGCCAGGAGGGGGCCGGAGAGAGGGAAGTCTAGACAAAACTGCATCGGAGGGGACGTGCTTGCGCCAGGCCTGGTGTAGATATGCACTGGGAGCCTGTGACACATGATAGAGACTAAGAGGGTCCTACCCCAGCCTGGCCAGGGTCTTAGTAAGTGCCAGAACCTGGTGAGCCCACCTGATAATGGAGGAGGGGTCCTGATTGCTGCACCCAGTTGAGATGAGGGCACACTGTATGGGGACCCCAAAACATGGACACCCCTAAAACCCCCACTCCCCTATCATTTCTTCTCCAGGATGAAGAGGAGGAGGAGGAAGGGCATCCAGGTCTGTTCTCCGTGCAGGGCACTATGAAAACTCTCCCTCTAGGGACTTAACATCCAAGTTGCTGGGCCAGGCCTACCAATAAAAAAACAGCTGGCAAGGTTGGGGGTGGGTGCTCCCAGAAGTTCCAGGGCCCAAGGATCAGTCCCTTCTCTATGAGCTGTCAGGGGCTGCTGTTGGTTTAAGAGCCCCAAACCTCCCCCATCCTACTCCCTCCACCCTGTCTCCCTCCCTCCCCTCCCCCACACACTCTGGCCCTGCAGACACCACTCCACACCCAAAGCAAGTCTCTCTCACACTCCAGGCAGGGACCAGTTCCTTCCCACGTTTGGCCTGTAATCCCAACTCCCTCCCCAAGAGCAGAAATTCAGTATTAGTGTTTTCAAAGGCTGCCACATTTAACCTCTGCCCTCTAGCCCCAGGCCTCATCCTGTTTCCTAAGTGCAACCTCAGATTTTTGTCCCTTCCCCACCTTACAATAGGGTCCTGTCCTCATTCTCTTGTCCCAGACAGTAAGGGTCTCCAGGGTGGGACCAAACCCCTGGAGCGCCAGAAGATAATCCACTGGAACGTGTCCCTTCCGTGTGTTCATCTAACAGGCATGGGCTCAGCACCTCAAGTCCCAGCCTGGTGGGGTCTGGACTGGACCTCGCCTGCTGTGGGTCTAGCTCTGTCCTGGACAGAACAGAGAAGCCCAGGCGCTACCGCACTTCACCCCTAGGACTGTCTCCTACGCTTCAGAGGCTGGCCCCGGTCCTGGCTCTCTTCCCCACCTCTTGCTCTGGGCAGTGGAACTCCAACCATTGCCCCCCGGATGTGGGTTTCCAGCAGGGCATCTGGTCACTTCTCCACAGGGGCCCCAAATCCAAGAGGTCCCAGTCATTAGGGTCCAATCTGGCTTTCTACTTTTCAAGTCACTTGTCCTCTACTCCCAACAAGAAACTTCTCACCCCAGAGAAGAGCGAAGAGCAGCTCAGATTGTCACAGGGTGCAGGAAATAAGAGGCCCTGACCACGGTTCCTGCCAGGAGCCCAGAAGCTCCTTTCTTTGGGGATAAGCGACATTAATTGGCGGCCTGGGGCTTCAGGCTCTCTTTCGGGGTTCTGACCCTAGCTCGACCAGTCCGAGACCCCAAGGGTCCGCTCCTATGAGACTAGAGATCGCGCCGCGCGCTGCGCGCTCCACCGGCAGAAGGGCTCAGAGGAGAACCGAGCCGGGTAGGGCGCAGCCTCAGGTGCTCTCCCGGGGCCAGGCTCCGCCTAGGAACAGGTAGCACCCGAGCTAGCTATTAACTGAATTAAGTGGTGCCCTGTCCTGCTCGGATCCGAGCCTCTCCAAACCCTGCCACCGCTCCCGGAGCCCGCTCCAACTAGAAAAGTAGCGGGCAGCGAGGGCCGCGCCGAGGGCGGCCGCGGGGAAGGGTCGCGGTACCTGCCAGCAATTCGATCTTGTGTCCCAGCACCTTCATCTCGGCGCCCGGCACTGCCCGGCTCGGGCTGCGGCGTCGGGGAAGTGCGCTGGGCCAAGCCGGGGCGCGACGAGGCGCGCGAAAGGCGCGGAGAGGAGCAGCGGGAGAGCTGGAGCGGAGCCGGAGCCAGGCAGGAGCAGCAGCCCGCAGCCAGGAGTGCTCTCGCCGCCCCCTACGCCGCGCGGCCCCCTCCACAAAGGTTTAAAAAAATCCACCAATTGCACGGCCGCGCACCCCCAAAAGGCGCCCGCCGCCACCTGGTCGGGGTGAACTCCAGGAGGCGGATGGAGTGCACCGGGTGGGTGCGGGTGACAATACGGGCGACAACACGGGAGGGGGCCCTTGCGCCTGCTGCCGGAACAAAGAAACCTGCCGCCCCCGGGCGTCGCTGTAGGGGAGGTGCGGGAGGCTGCTGGGCGGTGGCCCCCTGGGGTCTGGTGCCCGGCCGGGAGCGCGAGCCGGGGTGGGGTGGGGAGGACGGACACCGCCCTCGCGTAGGCGAAATGGGGTCCCCGGGAGACTATGCGGGGCTCGTAAGCCTGGGGCTGGGGGCGCGCGCAGCAGCCGCAATAGCAAAGGGAGCGGAGGCCGGGGCTGCAGGGGCGAGGGCGCGGCGACTCACCGAGGGTGCTGCCAGCGAGACAGACGCGCAGGCGGGAGCCGGGCCTCCGCGCGCCGCCGCCAACGCGCTGTGCAGGTGCCAGCAGCCCGCAAGCCCCTCCGCGGGTGCCTGGGGCGAGGGCGGCGCGCCGCGGGGCGTGCCCACTGGGTGTGCCCACTGGGTGTGGTGGGCGTGGGCGCTCGGCCCACCGTGCGCGCCGGGCCTGGTGACTCGAACCCGGCGGCGGTCCCGGGCGCCCAGCCTCCGCCTCCTATCTTGGCCCGCGCGTCCGATCGGTCGGTGGGTGTGTGGGTGGGAGGGCCAGCGGGACGCCGCGACACGCAAACCTATCGGAGACCCCGGCGATCCGCAATCCCCCGCCCGTTTCTCACCTCCTGCGGGCACCGGGAGAAGGGCCTGGCCGCTGGGGATCTGCCGGGTGCGGTGCGTGTGAGGCCTTGGCCGCCCCCTCCTGTTCCCCAGTACCGCGAGGCGTCGGGTTCCCGGGGAGAGGGTGGCCTCTGCTTCTGTCTTTGTTTGAACTCCAGGCCCTGTAGAGACTCCCCACATCCCGCCGCCACTCCCCTCCCCACCCCTGTCGCTCGGGCCCCACCCGCCGCCGCCTGGGAACCATTGGAGAAAAGCCCTGGAGGGTCGGGAAGAAGTGGGGCCTCAGGGTTCTTTGCGGCACAGTCCTGGGTTTTCAGAGCTCGAGGTAAAAATTTGGGCAAAGGTGCTCTGTCTGGGTTCTGAGGGTCCCACCCAGAGCGTGTGACAAGGTTCTGTTCTCAATTCACCTGACATTACCCCAGGTAGAGGGAACAGGGAGACCAGAGTCATTTTCCGCCTCACACTGCTTGGGTCCAGTGCGAACCGCCCTCGACCCCCAAAAAGAGAGGGTCAGAGGCCCTGGATGGAGTTCAACTCTAGGAAATATGAAAGGTCCTCCAAATTTTATCTGGGCCAGACAGCTCGACATGAGGGCTCCTGAGGACCCAAGTTCTCTTCAGGCTCTCACAGTAACCTTGGTTCTGCCCTTCCCGGAATTCCAGACCTTTGGGGTGCAAAAAGTGTTGGACTAGGTAATTTGGGGAATCCAGGATGGCGATGGGGTAGAAGGTCAAGAGGATCTTACAGCACCTTCTCTCCCTTTGGTGACCTTTGTGGGCCCTGTTTGTCATGAGGTCCTGGCTTTCCCTCAGCTCTGGGCAGACTGTGGCCCTGGTGAATTAACCCATCCTCCAGTTGAGGATCTGGGAAGATTTTGGTGGCTCCAGAAGAGGTAATATCCTTGAACAGCTTTGTCCAGTTTGGGGTGCGGCATATAAACCCACAGGAGGCAGCAAGTGTGGCTTCTGCACCTTGGGGAAATCCCTGCCTCACTTTCCTCCTTTGTAAAGGGTTTAGGAGGAGGTCAGTGGCCAGAAGGAGCTTCTGTCTCTGAAACCTCTTCCTTTCACTAGGCTGTGGTTCTGTACATCAAAGTCAGGAGCCAGTCCATGAGAGCACGGGCTGGGTGGACAATTTCCAGGCTGTGTGAGGTTTGGTATCCTCCAGGTCACAGTCCATGAAATTGGAGTAATGCTGACCTCAGAGCATTCTTTGAGGAATTAAATGATGAAATGTGATGAAAATGTTCGCGATGAAGGCAGACACCTGTTCTAAGTGTTCAATAAATGGTCATGATTATTATTGGTGGTGAGACCGACATGATCACATTAAAGATTCCTGAGTTCTATCCTTTTCAGTAATTTAAGATCTAGTCATTGGATAAAACTAGTTGTTGGGGTTCTAGTGAGATAATTCCTGAGGCCTTGCCTGTTCTGAATTCCTTGGGGGAACTCAGACCCCAGAAGATATAAAGGGCTGCCTGTTAAGAGCTTCAACACTATGTCATGTCTGTCTGTGTGAGAAGCAGCCTTGACCTCGTGTAGACAATCTACTTGGCTTGGATAATTTGTGAACCGCAAGGGAGACTTCCTGTGGGTCAGGTTTCTGAAACCTGAACCGGAAGAGACCCAGGGGCTATTGCATTAAGGTGGGTGCTCCAGGAATGGGCAGCGTGGCTCCTTCTGAAGGAGGCAGTCATGCCAGGCAAAACGGGTCACTGCGGAGTCAACAAAAGGGGCTAGTTGCAATCCCAGTGTGGTGGACTCGCCTTCTCCCTGTGGGGGAGACATGCTGTCTGGGACAGACTGGATGGTGGGTTTTTTTTAAACTCAGGAAAGCAGAACACTGCAGAGGATCAAGCTGTTGCCTGAAACCAGGGGCTCTCCAGAAGGGTCCCCTGGCTTTGCTTTCAGCTCCTAAAAAGATGCTTTAAATGTCGCTGCCTTGCAAACTGGGCAGAAGTCTGGCTGGCCTGCACCTAGGCTGGAGGGGAGAGCAGCCTTTCCCGAGAGCCTTCCCCTCTCCGTCTGTCAACTCAGCTGGTTTATTTGTTAGGGTGTTAGCTGCAGGAAATAGAGGCCTACTTCAGCTAATTTAAGCAGAAAATGACTTTAAAGGAGGGCCTGGGAGTACCCCCGCCTCAACCTGGCCTGGGGGTTTCAGGAGCCAGGCCTGACACTGCAGCCTTGGCCTGGCATTGAAACCACCACGGCTACTCCTGGGTGCAGATGCTGCAGCTGGTGCTGACTACAGATGTGGACACTGGACATGGGCATCTGGACAGCAGCTGGCTCTGAGACTAGAGGTGTACTGCCGCCACTGCCACTGTCTTCGCCAAAATGGATTCCCTGTGGTCTGGGCTTCCTCCTGCCACCAGTTTCTAATTCACAGTGCTGAGTGGGACTTCTGATTGGAGGAGCCCAGGTCACATCCTCCAACACAGCTTCAAGGAAGGCAGGGGAGGGGCCTTTTCTGATTCTCTAGCGGGAGGTGGGCTCCCACTGCGTCATAGGAAGGCCATGTCAGATGCTGGTAGCCAAAAAGTGACCAGTGCCCACTTCAGATAACAATGCACTTGTGAAACAGAAGACGAAGCACGTGGATGCTTAACTCAGAGTCTGGCATGAAGGGACATGTGGTCCCTGGTCCTGTCTCTGGTCACGGAGATTCGCACCACACGGTAAATCCTCAGCGTCAACCAGTGCTTCATTCTGATTTTTTTTTCCGCCAGCAGGTGAAAGACAAAAGGACCTTGAAAACAGTGTGGCTTGCTGCCCTTCCAGATGCAGAGGCAGCTCTGGTCCTGCTGCCAGGAGGGCAGGTGACTGGGTTTTTCCATTGTGGTGATGAATTGGGCTGAGTCACACCATCCCTCTCCCATCCCCTGGTCCTCTCGTGACCATGACTGGGAGCAAATAAAAAGAATTAGCTGATGGGGTTGGGAGTGAAGATGCACCTGGGGCCATGGAATCTTTCTCTCTTAGCAGATGAAGGGGTGTCAGGAACCCCTAAACCCCTGCCCCCCACAACCCCTTATATTCATCAACCAGAAGCCAAGCAGCCTGTGGCAGTGGGGGTGGGGTGGGGGGGTGGAGAAGAACTTTTCTTTCATAATATTGATTCAGTAGCTCCTAGGTGCCCAGTCCTGGGGCTCTAGGGTCCACTGGAGAACCAGAAGTGGCAGGACATTGACCTTGCCTTTATGATTCATACACTGATAAAAGAAGTCAGCTCAGAGTCCCATGATGTGGGCATCAGATACACTGCTAAGGTGTGTAATTGAGGTCACTGTGGAATGCAGTGGGGGCCTGGAGGGCCCAGCAAGGGCTGAAGAAAGAGGCATCTGAACCTGCAGAGAGGTAGAGGATCAGCAAATGGAGATGGAAGTGGGTGATTGGGAGAGAAAGCTCCATCCTTAAACCCACCCATTTCTGTCTGTCCATCTATCCATCCATTTGTTCTATATTACACCAGCCAGGCCCTGTGCTAAGCTCCAGGAAGCACAAAGCTGAGCACATAGCAGCCCTGCCCCCCACCTGGAGCTCTGGTTGAGGTGGAGAAGGCTGGGTGTGCCTGAGCAGATGGTGCAGAAGCTGCACCAGGGAGGTGGGCGGGGGAGAACGCTGGCCTCCGCCTGGCTCTGGAATTTCACCAGCCACCAGAGTGTCTGCTCCCTGTGCCTGGCCACCGAGGGCCATTCACTGGCTGTGTTGCCACCCCCTTTCCCTCACAGCACGTAAGGATCCTTGTCCCTCAGGACTGGACCTTTGCTCTTCAGGGTAACTCTTGATGTCCCACCCCTCCCCCTCTCCCAGAGGACAGCAGATCCCCTCTGGTGCCCTCTGAAGATGCCCCTCTAACTCCCCTGGGAAACAGAAGACACAGGGAGCCCTAATTAGTGCCAGGTCAAGGCAAGGGGCGGGGGTTAAGGTACACAGAGAAAAATAAAAATCATTCATAATTCCACTGCCTAAAGATAGCCAGTTTGGGGGGAACTTTATATTTACTCTAATAAACGTATTCTTCTTCAACATAATCTTAATAGCTGCACTGTCTTTATTTTGTGGGTACATCACAATTTTTGTAATCAATTCCATATTTTTGAGCATTTAAGGAAGATGGGTCCATTTTTCTGTCATTGGAAACAATGACCTCATAAGGCCATTTTGCAATCTGGCTCTCTGGCCTCTGGCCTCCTGCCAGGGCCAGCCCGTCCACTCTCAGGAAGAGGCTGATGCATGCTTAAACCAGGCTCGTCTTCACACCTGTGCAGGTTCTCTGAGGAACCCATAGGAAGGAGTGGGCTTGTCACCAACCCCCATCTTCCGACTGTGCCAACCTTTATTTTGAAGCCCAAGTTTTTGATCTTCTACTATAGTTACCTAAAGCCTTAGCTTTGAGGGAGATTGTGAGAGAGGACACCAGACTTTTCTACCATTTTTGCAGCTTCCTATTAATCTATAATAATTTCAAAATTAAAAGTAAAAACAATCCAGGCATGGTGACACATGCCTGTAATCCCAACTACTTGAGAGGCTGAGGCAAGTAGAATGCATGTTCAAGGCCAGCCTGGACAATTTAGCGAGATCCTATCTCAAAATAAGAAATAAACAGGGCGCGGTGGTGCACACCTGTAATCCTGGTGGCTTGGGAGCCTGAGGCAGGGGTATTGCAAATTGCAAGCCAGCCTCAGCAACTTAGTGAGGCCCTGTCTCGAAACAAAAAATGAAAAGGGCTGGGGATGCGGTTAAGTGCCCCTAGATTCAACCCCCAGTATCATAAGAGAAAGAAAAAAAAAGAAAGAAAGAAAGGGGTCTGGGGATGTAGCTTGTTGGTAGAGCACTCCTGTTAAATTTCTAGTACCCAGGGCCAGGGTGGTGGCTCAGTGGTAGAGCACTTGCCTAGCATATGTCAATCCCCAGCACCACATGAAAATAAACAAATAAGATAAAAGTATGTGTCCATCTACAACTAAAAAAAATTTTAAAAAATTTCCGATACACAAAATTAAATAAATAAATAAAAATGCAAAACCAAGGCAGCCCTACAGATAAATATTTAGACTCAGTCTCAGGAGCTAATGTTTTTAAGTCTACACTTTGTTACAAGAGTAGATCAAGCCCACTCCTTCCTATGGGTTCCCCAGAGAACCTGCACAGGTGTGAAGATGAACCTGGTTTAAGCATGCATCAGCCTCTTCCTGAGATGGACGGGCTGGCCCTGGCAGGAGGACAGAGGCCATAGAGCCAGATTGCAAAATGGCCTTATGAGGTCATTGTTTCCAATGACAGAAAAACGGACCCATCTTCCTTAAATGCTCAAAAATATGGTACTGATTACAAAAGTTGTGATGTACCTACAAAATAAAGACAGCACAACTATTAAGATTATATTGAAGAAGAATATTTTTATTAGAGTAAATATAAAGTTTTCCCCAAACTGGCTATCTTTAGGCAGTGGAATTATGAATGATTTTTATTATTCTCTGTGTACCTTATAAATGTTGTGTGTATGTGTGTGTGTGTGTGTGTGTACTATAATTTTAAAAAATATCAAACCCCATGCCCATACCTCAATTTTCCCTGAAAGGTAGGAAAGTTACCCCTTTCACTCCTACCAACAGGCATGTGCTGGAAGAGGCTACCCAGCACAGCTTGGCCTGTAAGTCCAGGGAGATAGATATCCCAGCAAGTAGGAATCTCTCAAAGAAAAGAAAAGAAAAGATAGAGTAGCTCTTTGGAGCTGAGCAGAGCCATTCTCCTTCCTTAGGAGAACTCCCATGTCCAGAAGAGTCTTTGTCTTGAAGTGCAGAGAGCTGGCCTGGCCTTCTGCAGCACAGGCTACTTGAATGAATGGTCCCAGCCCCACCCCAGGCTTGAGCTAACACTTCTCACAGAACTGGGCATGTGATACTCCCCAGGCTTGGGATGGATAGGGTCCCAGGGCTGGACCATCCAAAGACAACCTCTCCATCATGAGCTCAGCACCATGACAAACAGACTTGGGTTGAATCAGAGGTGTCAAAAAAAAAAAAAAAATACAGACAGTCCCCAGTTGGATGGTTGGCTTATGATTTTTTTTTTTGGACAAGACACATTCAATAGACAGCACGCCTTCAGTAGCAACCATAGTTTGAATTTTGATCTTTTCTCTGGGATGGCAATAAGCACATGAAACTCTGGATGTTGAGTGGTGGCAAAAGGAACAACTCCCCGCCAGCCACACCATCCTGAGGGCAAGCGCTGACATCCTATGCACCTGTGCAGGTTCTCTGGGGAACCCATAGGAAGAAGTAGGCTTGTCACCAGCCCCCATCTTCCAATTGTGCCAATCCTTTTTAAAGCCCAAGGTTTTGATCTTGTACTATGTTACTTAAAGTTTTACCTTTGAGGGAGATTCATGAGGGAACACCAGACCTTTCTACTATTTTTGCAGTTTCCTATTACTCTACAGTAATTTATTAATCAATGGCTAAGCTCTGATGCTCAATTAGTTAGGTGCAGTAGATACATTTTCAGCTTATGTATGATATTTTCAAGTTATGGGTATGTTGGGATGTAACTCTATTATTAGTCAGGGTGCACTTTTTTTTTTTTTTTTTTTGGTACTGAGGATTGAACCCAGGAGCAATCAACCACTGAGCCACATCCCCAGCATTATTATTAATTTTAAAATATAAATTTTACAAATTGGAGTCTTGTCGAATTGCTTAGGACCTCATTAAGTTGCTGAGGCTGGCTTTGAATGCTTGATCCTCCTGCCTCAGCCTCCCAGACTGCTGGGATTACAGGCATGCACCACTGTGTCTGGCAAGGTGCATTTTTAATAGAAACTGAGGAACTGACTTTGGATACTATTCTAAGAGTCTCCAAGACCACCCTCACGATTGACAATTTGCTTGACTGATTCACAGGACTCAGAGAACCCATTATATTCTTGTTTATTGTTATTGCATTGAGAGAGCACAGATCAAGATCAGAAGAGAAAAGGTGCACGAACAAAGTCCAGAAAACTCCACATGCAAGCTTGCAATCTTCCTCTCCCAGTGGAGTCAAATTAGAACACACTTAATCCTTCTGGTAATGATGCATGACAACACCTGCTAGGACTTACCCAACCAGGGGCCTTGGTGTCCCGTTTTTATTTTTATTGAGTGTCAGTCATATAGGCACGCAGCATCCATGTGACTAACCTTAGCTACTCAATCTCCACGTCCCCAAAGGTCAAACTGATCTTTGTGGCCCAGAACCTCACAAATGCTAAATCAGGCCTTCACTATTCATTCCATTGCTAGCCTAAATTCTCTGGTCAAACTGTTTCACTGGAACTCAAGGCTGAAGACATGCAAAGACAGTGATATTCCAAGAACACAGGAGTAATCTTGAGCAGAAGTCAAAGGTTATTCCTTTCTTTGGAATGTGCAAGGTTTGAGCAACCCCAACCAGCAGAGTGAACCCCTGTTCGAATGCCAATGGTATATTTTGCCACATACACACAAACCATCATCTATTAATCACTATTATTTCATAAAAGAAAGGACCTTTACTTAGTGCCTCGGGAGGCTGAAGCAGGAAGATTGCATGAGGCCAGCCTCAGCAACTCAGAAAGGCTATAAGCGACTTAGCAAGACCCCTATCTCAAAATGAAAAATAAAAAGGATTGGGGATGAAGCTCAGTGGTTAAGCTCCCTGGGTTCAATTCCCAATACAAAAGAAAAGAAAAGAAAAGAAACATTAATGTCAAGAAGGTGGTCTGAACATTGTGACAGGTCCGAGCTTCCCAAGAGAAAACCTTTAGCCTGATGTTGCTAATTTTGAAGACCAAGGGGCCAGGAGCCACCAGTGTACACCTTGAACCTGATGATTGTTTTTTTTTTTTTTTTTTCCTATCACCAGATACCATGCAATCCCTTTGAGCTCCTCTTTACAGAGTTCTTCCATAGGTTGCTTGATGCCTACAGCAAATGCACTATTTGTTTCTCTTTTGTTAATTTGTCTTCTGTGGGTCCAATTTATAAGACTCCAATCAGAGGAGGAAAATGATTTTTTCTCCTCCCCTAAAGTCTAACCCAACCTCTGGGTCATACCTTCCTGTTGACAACACACTCTTGTCCTGCTTTGTCCCTCGCCGTGGTTGGTCACTAGGATGGGGGCCCCTGGCTGACATTTTTTGGGAAACAGTTGCTGTGAGGGAGGCCCCCAGCCCGCGGAGGCAGGCGGTAAGGGTGGAATCCTCCTGGGTCTGCTGCCTTCAAGGCCAGGTGGCTCTCTCTGCCAGCTGCCCCCTGCCTCGCCCTGGTCCATTATTTCTGGCCCATTACTCACCTCCCGCAGAGCCCAGATGCTGCCTGCCAGAAGCTGTGACCTCACTGTGTCCCCAGAGAGGCCTAAGGGCAGCTCCCTCCACCCCACCAAGCCTCACTCCCTGCTGTCCCCTTCCCTTCACAGCCTTTCCTGGTGTGGCACAGCTTGTCCCCTGCCCACCGCCCCCCAAGAACCACCTGGGGAGCCCGGCGGCCTCCTTGCCAAGCCAGCTGTTAGCAAAGTGGCAGTGGCGGCAAACACCAGGATCACAGACATCCCTTCACCCTGGTGTGTGTGTGTGTGTGGCGCCGTAGGGGTGCGGACAGGAAGTGTGTGCAGGTGTGCATGAGAGGAGGGCACGTGTGCATACTATATGTGAAAACAGTGATTTGAGTCCTCGCGGCTGGACACACGGGCGCTGGCTTTTTTTAAGCTAAAAGCCTAACCAGTAAGGATTATTTTCTTCTTCTCTCTCCCTTCCCCACCCCAACCCCGGGGGGTGGGAAGCGGCACTTAGATCTAGAGTTCAGACTGGGAGCAGAACCCCAGGAGACCGAGGGAGCCCACAGCTTTGGCTCTGTGTGGCATTGAGTAGGTGGCTTGATCTCTCTGTGCATTATTTTCTTCTTTACCTCATTGAGTCATATGACACATAACGAGGGAGTTATGTGTCAAGCATCCAGCACAGGATGAGGGACAGTAAACACTGAAAAAAAAGTACACCAGTTAGACCCCACACTCCTGCCCGGAAGGGCATCTGGAAGGGAGGAGGAGCCAAGGGCTGGACGGGTAGAAGTGCTTGGCCCCTAGGCATTAACTGGGTAGAGAGCAGGAGCTGGGTCCCCTTCATCTCAGTTTCCATGTCTATAGAACGAGCAAGGGCTGCGCTTAGCAGTTGCTTAAAACCATGGCTAGGGCCATGGAATTCTGGAAAAGGAAAATGAAAACTTTGAAAAATCACAGATTTGCCCTTCCAGTTGAACTTGCCTGCCCCCTTTTCCTGGGATTTAAGGTAGTTGTTACACCTAAAACCAGAGGCCACACAGCTCCATCTCCTCCCGACCCTTAGTCCTACTCCCCCATGTTCTGAGTGACTGGCCGACTTCTCTAGAATCATCTGGAGACCCTGTGACACACAAAGTCCTTGAGTCATGACCTTGGGACCTGGTTGGGTAGGACTGGTGCACACATGATCCCGTGTCTTTAATGATTCCCTAATGATTCCCAAGCAAGTGTCCACTGTGAGGAGTCAGACCAAGCGCCTTGCTGGAGATCCTTCAGCTGCCTCTGGGAAGAGTCCTGACCTTCCAAGGTCTTGTCTCCTTCTCCTCCACCCCAAGACCCTGAGAATGGAAGGGATGAGCTTCCCCAGTCCTCACCATCACCCGCTTCCTCCCGCTCAGAATCATTGCTTTCTCTGTTGATCAATTTCCAATCAATCACCCCAACTGTTCGTGGGCCCAGAACAATTGACATTTGTTCTGCAGATGCCCTTCCTGGAGGCACAGCTGGATCTGCATCAAGGCCTTCTCCAGAATTGGGAACACAGCTTAAAGGGCCCCCACACCCTGTTGGCAGGGAGATATCTGTGTGATCAGTGTCCAGGAAGCCATGAGCCCTCAGTGCTGGTCATTGTACCCAGTACTAATGAGGACAGTGGGCAGCTGGTATCTGTTGGGGGTAAGGATAGGGGTGGTTTATGAGGCAGAATTATTGCAACTACATCTAAGTAGTTAACCAGAAGCAATTTTTCCCCCTTGCTGCGAGTGGAACCCAGGGCCTCATGCATGCCAGGCAAGGGGGTGTACCACTGAGCTGCACCCCCAGCCCAGGAGCAATCTATTTCCAGAGGCATCGACTGTTTTGAAACTCATGCGTGATTTCTCACCTATAGTGAGTCAGCAAGGCTAGTCCTACTGTCCCGAATCATTTCCATGACCTTGGTGGTGCTCAGTGACATCCTACTTTCCAATCAGCTATGACTCTCCCGAATGCATGCCTGCCCTTCTTCCCTCTGGTTTATCATAGGAGCAACCAACCACAATAAATCGCCACAGGCCTTGAATGCTTACGCGGACTGTTCATCCACTGAAATTTGTCACCACAATCCTATCAAGTCAGAATTTAGGTTATCCCCATTTTATAGAGGAGAAACCAAGGTGTGGGGCGGCAAGAAGCTTGCTATCAATGTTACAGCTGATCCATGGGGGAGCAGAGGCTCCAGCCCCGATCTCTAAGTGAGTCCTCTTAACCACTCTGCTGGAGAGCCTTCTCCTGTGGATAGAAAGGCCTGGTTTCATTGGGACAGCCCCTTCCCCAAGCCCTCTTCTGCACAGCCCAGGGCCACCCACCAGTTGGCAGCCCTGCCACCACTCAGTCCCCGCTGCCTGCAGTTAATTATTCTAAAAAGACATTTGCAAGCCCAGCTCTGTGGGTCTAATGTGTTCTCCCTTTTGCTAATTTAATAATCCTGTTTTCAGAAACGGGTGTGCTTTTAAAATTCGTTTGCTGGGCTGATCGCTCTGCAGATACTTCCTGATGCTGGTTTTCTTCTTTGAACACAGGCTCACAAAGCCCTGTGGGTTTCAAGATTAAGACCCATGATTTGTGACTGGGGTGTCTGCTCCTCGGCTCTCTGTTGTGGTCAGCTGCAGGCGTCAGGCAGGGCCAGTCTGAAATCCTGAAAAATCTAACATACCAGATCGCCCAAAGAAGAGGCAGCTTGGCTTCTACTGGTGCGTTCAGGTCACCGAATGCTGAGTGGCTTTATCTGAGTGGTAGACTTAAAGGGGAGTTTTAGTTTCGTCTTTATAGTTCTTTTATCTGTTTTATTTTCCAGTTTTTTTAATTTACAAAAGCATGGAATTTTTTTTTTTTTAATTGGGGATTGAACCCAGGGGCTACTCTACCACTGAGCTTCACCCTCAGCCCTTTTTATATTTTGAGACAGGGTCTTGCTAAATTGCTGAGGCTGGTCTTGAACTTGGAATCCTCCTGCCTCCCAAGTCACTGGGACTATTACAAGCATGCACCATTGAGCCCAGTATAAATGTATAATTTTAATAATAAAATAAGAATTAAATTATTGTTAAAAATAAAGTTCAGGGCTGGGGATGTAGCTCAGTGGTAGAGTACTTGCCTGGCATACATGAGTTCCTGGGTTTGATCCTCAGCATCACCACCAAAAAAAAGGTCATTCAGTAAAAAGAATCAGATCCTTCAGGCAGAGCTTCAGGCAAGTCTGGCTTTATGAACCTGCTAAATGAACTTATATGAACTTGTTAAAGCCATTGACAGAAGAGAACTCTAAAATGAGCAGAACTCTATGCAAAAAGAGAAAACAAGACCCAGGCTAATAATTATGTTCATAAAACAATTTATCATAATTTTAAAAAATGGCATACAACTTGAGTACTTAAAATGTTAATGCAATGATTTGTTAAATCTTAGATTTCACTGTCGCTCACCCTCCGGCACGACTTGACTTGAATTTGCAAGTAGACTCTAGGGTGGATCTGTTTCTAGACATTGGCGTTCAACAAACATGGATGGAGGTTTGCCCTGTGCCAGACAGTGTTCTAGGTTCATGAGCTTTCAGAAGGAATGAGAATGAAGCCCAGATTCGAGCAGCTCCGTGTCTGAAGGGAAAAAGGGGTACACACAGACAATTTGAAGAGGGCTCTGTGGGGGCGCTCGGGGTCCAGAGGGCTGGTCTTAGGCTCTGCCAAGGAAGGCAAGGAGAGCTTCACAGGTGAGGAGACTAACACTTGGAACAGGATTTACCAGGTGGAGAAAGTGGGAAGGCAGTTCAGGCAAAGAGAAGAGGGTGTGCAAGATCGGGGGTTGGGGGGTGGCCATGGAAAGAGCCTGGACTGATGGGCTCAGAGGGTGATCTGGCTGGCCCTGGGAAGCTATTGAAAGATTGTATATTTTGTGTTCTCTATTAAAATATCAGTTGCTGAGTAACTTATAAAGAAAACAGTTTCCTTGAGCTCACAGTTCTGCAGGCCCAAGAGCAAAGCACTGCTGGCTCTGGGAGGGCGTCCTGGGGGACGGCATCACAATGGGGAGTGTGTAGAGGAAGAGATCCCTCGTGGGTAGGAGGCCAGAGACTCAGGGGTCAGCCTCCTTCTTTATTTTTTTTTTATTTTTTTTTAATGGTTTCTTTTCTTTCTTTTTTTTTTTTTAAAGAGAGAGAGAGAATTTTTTTTTAAAGAGAGAGTGAGAGAGAAATTTTAATATTTATTTTTAGTTTTTGGCGGACACAACATCTTTGTTTGTATGTGGTGCTGAGGATCGAACCTGGGCCGCACGCATGCCAGGTGAGCGCGCTACCGCTTGAGCCACATCCCCAGCCCCAGCCTCCTTCTTTAATAAGAACCATTCTCAGAGGAGCTAACTCTGAGACTAGCGTTCATCCCTCCTGAAGGCAGCACCTCTGATGACCTAATCACCTCTTACTAGGCTCCGCCTTCTTAAAGGTCCCACCACCTCTTACCACCACCACTGTGGGCACCAAGCTCTAGCACGTAAACCTTGGGCAGCACACCCCAACTCTACCCAAACAAATCACAGCAGGGGTTAAGTGGGGGAGTCACATAATCATAATCAGGCCTTGATATCCACATCTGTGGATTCAACCAAATACAGATCAAACTTTTTTTTTTAAATTGAGTCTGTGTTACATATGTAAAGACTCTTTTTACCTTTCATCATTCCCTAAACAACACAGTAAAACAACTATTCACAGGTCATTGATACTGTATTAGGTATTGTAAGTAATCTAGGGAGGATTTAAAATATAAGAGAACATTATGTAGATTGTATGCAAATTCTATGCCATTGAATATAAGGGACTTCTTGGGCTTTGGTATCTGCAGGGATCCTGGAACCAGTCATCTGCCTGAGGGATGACTGTCCTTGCCTTTTTGAGTGGCCCCTCAATGGATTAGTCCTTGAAGATCCATTTGATTGGGTTCCCCCGCTCCCTGGGTGTGTGTGGGGGGGAAGTAAGGATTGAACTCAGGGCACTTGACCACTGAGCCACTGCCCAGCCCTATTTTGTGTTTAATTTAGAGATAGAGTCTCACTGAATTGCTTAGCACCTCTCTTGCTGAGGCTGGCTTTGAACTTGTGATCCTCCTGTCTCAGCCTCCGGAGCCACTGGGATTACAGGCGTACACCACCACATCTGGCATTGAAGATCCATTTGGGAGACAAAACAAATGGTTTGTTTGAACAGAAGAAACTAATGCAAAGAACTGTTAGCCAGGTATGTCTGTCTATCTATTTATCTACATATACATTCATTCACCAATCCATCTTATTTTTAATGCATTTCAAAATAAATGGCAGGCATTTCCCTCAAAACTCCATTATTCACATCTTAACTTAAAATGTAATGTTTAAAATTTTTTTCTTTTAATGTAAACTTTACATAAATGATAGGCAAAAATCCTAAGTATACATTTGCTGTGTTTTGGCAGAAGTATACACTAATGTGACTTAAATTGCTATCCAAATATATGAAATTGCCATCACCCCAGAAAATTCCTTCATTCACATTCTCAGGCAATTTCTTGCAAATTCAACCCCTGTTCTGATTTTTTTCCACCATATATTAATTTGGCCAAATTTTCTCAACCTCAGCATTTTTCTTTTCTTTTTCTCCTCACAACCTGTTCCCTTGGCTGTGATTTTGCTGGACTGCAAGGTAGGGACAGTAGGAATCTCATTCATCCCCTCATGCTCATCACTAATTAGATGATGAGACATTTGGCTACCTTAAGAGAGTCATAGTTACTTTGCATTGAATTTGTTCAGTTTGACATTCTAACACTGGGAGGAATCATATTGCATTAATACCTGTGTAAACTATTAACATTTTGGCCTAAATAATTCTTTGTTTTTTGAGTGAGCTGTCCTGTGCACTAATTTAGCCTGTCTTATAAGTTCACATAAGTAGAATGTATTCTTTTTGGTTTAGCTTCTTTTCATGTAATGTAGTTTTTGTGAGATTCATCATTGTTGTTTTCTGTATCATTGAGTGTACTTTTTATGTTGAATAGTATTCCATTATATAGCTATATCACAGTTTGTTTATTCATTCTTCTGTTAATGGACACCTGGACCCTTTCCAAGATTGGTTATTATGAATAAAGCTGCTATGGATGTCCTTATATGATTTTTTTAAAAATATTTTTTAGTTGTCAATAGACTTTATTTATTTATATGAAGTGCTAAGAATAGAACCCAATGCTTCACACATGTCAGGCAAGCGCTCCACCACTGAGCCACAACCCCTGCCCCCTTATACAATTTTTTTTTTTTGTGAATATTTGTTTTAATTTTTGTTTTGGCTAATTAGCTAAGAAGAATTGCCAGGTCATAGGGTTGGTGAATAATTAGTTTTTCTAAACATCTTTATTGATGTATACTTTACGTGTAATTAGTTTACTAAGGTGTTGATCCTTAAAAGAAACTGGCATAAACTGATTAAGAAAGTTTATTTAGACTGATCAGAGCTGCAACTAGGGAAAAAAGATTCAAATGGTCTTACAATGTATAGATTTCAAGCAAGTTTTAAAGGCAAAACAACAACTGGGGAGCTGGATTAAATCAGTTGTTTTTCAAGAATTTAGAAGGATATAGGTAAGGTAGCAAGCTGCTTTATAAGGGATGGAAGATATACAGAAAGCAGTTCTAAGAAGAGGAAAGGATGGGAACAAAGCAATTTTAGGGAAAGGAAGGGAGTTAGAGGCAAGAAGACCCTGGTGGCTATCTATAGGATGGAATGTTCTGCTTTAATGAAAAGCAGAGCGTTCACCATTAAACTATGGGACATCGTGAGTTTGGGCCTGGTGGGGTTTCATATTATGCTGGGAAAAGGATCTAAGTCTGCACAGAGTCTAAAGTTCTCTAAGGTAGATGGGACTGAAGCCTGGTGTATCATGTACTCTTTTTTTTTTTTTTAAGAGAGAGTGAGAGAGGAGAGAGAGAGAGAGAGAGAGAATTTTTAATATTTATTTTTTAGTTCTCGGCGGACACAACATCTTTGTTGGTATGTGGTGCTGAGGATCGAACCCGGGCCGCACGCATGCCAGGCGAGCGCGCTACCGCTTGAGCCACATCCCCAGCCCTCATGTACTCTTTGTTTAATATTTTTAGGTGTCTCAATCCAATTTGTCCTGCTTTAATTTCTCCCACAAGGGTACCATAACCGTTTTACATTCCCATAGGTAAGTTAGGAGAACACCCGTAGCTCCACATTCTTGCCAACGCTTAGTCTTGTCAGTCTTTTGAATTTGAGCCTTTCTGGTAAAGACACGGCAGCTTTTCATTATAGTTTTTAAATGCATATTTCTCTGATGAATAATAACTTGTCCACATTGGCCATTTGTTGATATTCTTTTATTCAATTCTTCCATTCAAATCTCTTGATCGTGTTGTATTGCATTGTTGGTGTTTTTGTTACTGAGGCAGAGCATAGCATCGTCTTGGCCTGCCTGCTCACATCATAGTGAGCTGGTCCAGGACCGGGAAGGCAGAACTGAGCTAGTGAGGGGAACTGAGGCTCCGAAGCACACTGTGGAAACACTGGGGGGCGGGGGGGGGGGAGATGCCCATCACTGTCCCCCCAGTACTGTCTCTCCAGCACTGTGGCCTTCCTGAAGAGCAGTGGCTGTCTTCCTGTGCCTCCTTCCTCCCCATTTCCCACCCTGCAATCACTGCTTGCTTCAACAAAATCAAGACTCCTCTCTTGAACAAGCCTGGGGCTGAATCAAGATTTTTAATTTCATAATTAAGCCTCAAATCCACCTATTCCACTTCCTCTATCTCTCTTGCTTTTGCTCTGGGGGCTCAAGGGGTTCCAGTCAGGGTGCTTAGAGGGGACTCATTCCTTCACCTGCCACTGAGCCTCAAAGCTGCACAGGTGATTTGTCCGGGGATGTTCTCAGCCTGGGGAGATAGGAGCTCCCCTGAGTTTTCCTGTCCCTACAGGAGTCCACTTGTAGGGACAGGGACTCGCTCTGCTCACCACCAGCCACAAAACCCGTCTCTGGATTCCAGGGCTGGGAGGAAACTGGCTTTGGTCTTAGTTTTTATTTGACCTTGAGCAGGAGCTTGTCTTTCTCTGGTTCTTCATTTCCCCATTGTAATGTGAGAGCTTTGAAATGAGGTAGCTCAGGAGGCTTAGGGACCAGATCATCTGCCTGGTTCAATCCTGCTTTGGCCTGGCACCCAGGGCAAGTGACTCCAGCATCATTCCCATCAGTCAAGAGGGATCGACAACAGTGGGGACCCTGGCGGGGTGCTGTGGGGCCCTCGAGACAAGGCTCTCCTAACTCAGGCCTACAGCACTCAGCAGCTCAGGCCAGCTCGCCCCGCAGCCTCTTCTTGAGTGGGGATAACAGCCCGTGCGGTAGGGATTATCATTAGCCTATTGTGCAAGTAAGAAAGTGAAGATTGTAGATCATCAGGGACTAGTGCAAGGTCCAAAGGCTAAAAGGCGGCAAAGCTGGGGGCTGAATTTCAAAGCTCACAAAGTTTTTTTTTTTTCCAAAAAAAACCCCCAAAAACCTATTTTAGATGTTGATGAGCCTTTATTTTATGTGTATGTGGTGCTGAGAGTCAAACCTAGTGCCTCATACTAGGTTTGACCTAGTGCCTCAGCACATTGCTAGGCAAGTGCTCTACCACTGAGCCATACCCCAGCCCCCAAATCTCTCAGAATTTTGAGGGAAAAATATCTTTGCACTGTATTATCCCGCAGCCTCTTCTTGCTACCTAGAATACAGTCCTGGGGAGCTGGGGGTACAGCTCAGTGGTAGAGCACTTGCCTAGCGTTTGTAAGGTCCTGGGTTCCATCTCTCGTACAGCAAAGATAAATTAATAGAATATGATCATGGGAAACCAGGCCTGGAGCATATCCCAGGTTTAATTCCACAGGCAAAAGGCACGAAGCCCAGAATCTGGGGAGCCACTGTCTCCTGCAGCAAGAAAAGAGATATTCTGTGGACGAGAAGGACCCTGGGGGAGCAGGACAGACTGGGACAGGGACAAACAAAGGCAGAGGCAGCTGGATGGTGGCCTCAAACCTGTTGCAACCCAGAGATATGTGTGTTTATTTATACAATATTAATTTTTTTTAAAAAAGAATCGTGTGTGTACAGGCACCCGCACACACACATGCTGTCTCTCTCTGGGTTCTCCTGAAAGTTTAGGAGATTTGGCAACACAGTGTAGCCACTGGCTGGAGCTGGACCTGAAAGCAGCGGGCCTCTGTGGGCAGACACATCCCAGTGCCCACAGTCCCTGTTTGCTGTCCCTGGGTGACTCATTGATGTCATACAGCTGACCCTGGAAGGAACTGGGACCTCCGACTCAGGTTTTAATTAGGCCACCCTCAGTGGGGGGCTTTCTCAGGTTTCTTAATCTGGGGGCCCGTGGTTAAAATTCAGAGGTCTGAGAACCCATGGTGGATGGGTGGGTTCACCATGGGTTTCCAGTGTCTTGACAGCTGAGGCCTTGCTGAGCCTGGGAAGTCTGCTCTCCCTGGGCGAGCCAGTTCCCAGAGACGGTAAACAACTCACCCAGGCGATCCACAGCCCATACCACACCTGCATCAGCCTCTTACATCCTGGGCCACTATTCCCCTGCCCTCATACCCCAGAGCCAGTACCAGAAAACAGAGCTGACCCCCACACCCTACACCCACAGAAATTGTGCAGAGGAGTCAGTCCTAGGCCTCTGACTCTGTCTTACCCATGCCCACTGAAACCACAGTAGAAGCTTTTGCCCAGTTTTCCTTTTGCTTTCTCTGCCTCCTGACCCACCCTGTGCTTCCCATGTGGCCCTGCATGGAGTAGCCTGGTGTTCCTCCTCCTAGTGAATGTGTGAGCCATCAACTATCTTTCCCAAGGCAGTGGTCTCCTGATCTGTTGACCTCACCATAGTTGAATAAGAAGAAGAAGAAGAAAAAAAAATACAATTTAAAACTCTGGGCAGAAAAGAGTTTTCTTTTCAGTAACTTCAAACTGCAACTAAGTATGTTTGTGTTACTCAACTTCCTGTTGCTATAACTAAATACCTGACATAATCAATTTGTAAAGAGAAAAGATTTATAGCTGGCTGTTGCTTTTCATGCCTGGAATCCCAGCATCTGGGGAGGCTGATGCAGGAGGGTCGCAAGTTTGAGGCCAGCTTTAGCAAATTAGTGGGCCCTTGGCAACTTAGCAAGACCTGTTGCAAATTAAAAAATAGAAAGGGCTAAAGATGTAGCTCGGTGCTAAAGTGCCCCTGGGTTCCATTCCAATACTGCAAAAAACAAAGAAAGAAAGAAACAAAAAAAGACACAGAGAAAGAAATTTATTTTGGCTCATAGTTTTGGAGGTGCCAATGCATCATGGGCTGGCCTCGTTGCTTCTGGGCCTGGGGCAAGGATGTGCTTCCTGGCAGGGGTGCATGGCAGAGCAGAATTGCTCCCCTCGTGCCCAGGAAGCTAGAGAATGAGGAGGGGATGGGGTCCGCAATCCCCTTCAAGGGCATGCCCCCATGACCTGAAGACCTCCCCCCAGATCCCATCTCTTAACAGTCTTACCATCTCCCAAAAGCCCCACCCTGGGAACACATGCTTTAATGCATGGGCCTTTGGGGGGACATTCAAAATCCAGACCATAGCAAATTCCCTTCAATTATCACCATAGGCAACAAACCACAGTGATATTACCAGTGTGAGCATCTTTTTTTTTTCTTTTAAGGTTTTTAGAAAATTTTTTTAGATGTTGATGGACCTTTATGTATATCTTTATTTATTTGATGGACCTTTATTTATTTATTTGATGGACCTTTATTTTATCCATTTATTTCTGTGCAGTGCTGAGTTGAACCCAGGGCCTCACACATGCTAGGTAAGCGCTCTCCCACTGAGCCCCAGCTCCAGCACCCAGCATGGGCATCTTGACTCCAGTAAAAAAATCTTTATATATCATAAGGGGTTATTGTGGATCGTTCAAAATATTGTTTGCGCTCATTTGCCACTTTGATGTTATTGTGGTTCAGAAGCCTGAAGTCAGGCAGGGAGTTCAACAAAGTGTTCTAGGCAACCCAGTCTGGACTTCGGGGACCAGCCAGCATCCAGTGAAGGAAAGAAAGAAAGTGGACCTAAATCTGAAG